ATAAACTCAAAGGAGTGAGGATCCGTCCCGAGTTTTTTAGGCCCATCTTTTAGTCCAGTTTCCTCAGATATTTTCAGGATTCAACAGGCTGAAATCTGCCCAGTTTACATCCAGTATCTCTTAGGGAATCCTCAGAAATCCTGTTTCCTGTCTGTCAGACTGTGTTTTTCTTTGGCTTTTCTCAAAGTTATGGTTTTCTTTTACGGTTCAGGACTCTGTCAAGTCAAAACGAGGGAAATGAGGAGAAAAGAAAGCCTAAAAAAAAAAGAAACAATCGCTCCAGGCGGCTTTAAAACATTCAAACTAAAGTCTGGTTTCCTGGAACTAACATTTAAAGTTACGACACGTCCGACTGTCAAGTGAGAAAATACTTTAATCTCAGCACCAAAGCCTTAAAAAAACACTGAAACACAGTTTTTCTTTAGAAAAAAACAACAAAAAAACTCTCTTTTGAAGTGAGCCTCAGCTGTCTCAATTAAATCTCAATGACATGAAGTCAAAACAAACCTGGAGTGGTTGTAGTTTTTGTAGTTTTTCTTAAATAGTCATTTAGATTAGAAGGTAAGACCCTGAATAAAGGACCAGTGAGTGTTTATCCACATATAAAAACCACTCGGAGGGATCAAACCTGAGGGAGAAGTTTAGAAATGGACAGAAAATGAGGCCTGAGAAGTAAATAAAGCAAAAATAAAAAGGAAAATGCCATAAAAAATGATCCAAAAACAACAGAAAACAGCAGAATACGTTAAATAATGTAAGATTTCCACACAAAACACTTTCCACTTCACCATAAAACTGCTCTTTTTCAATGATTTTCATATTTATTTTTAATGGTTTTTCAGGAAATACATAAAAAATAACACAAGAAAAGACAAAAGTTCTCCACATTATCCAAGATCTCCAAACCCAGGAGAGAGGAGGGCAGAAAGATAAGATCAGATGAAATGAGATCAAATAGAATCAGATCAAACAAGATCAAATGAAATAAGATTAAATGAGATCAAACAATATTAAAAGAGATCAAATGAGATCCAATTAAATCAGAAGAATTAGAATATGTTTAAATTAGATTTTCCATTGGGGGTCTGGATCCTGGACAGGTCACCAGTCCATCATAGGAAATCAGATAAAATAAAACTAAATAATAATTAATAATAATTAGATCAATCAGATTTAACACTCGGCTGACTTATGAAAATATTTTTTGTTTTTATTGTGTTTTTTACATAAGAACAAAAAAAGATTGGTCCTATTCCTGATTTCATTTTCTTTTCTTTTTCTTCTTATAATATAATAAATAATGATAAATAATTAGAAACTGAAGTATGTAACCATAGGAAGGCAGAAAAAGTATTTCGCTCCAAACTAAAGAGGCTCAAACCTCTTCACACCATTTTTTATATATTATTTTCTATATATTTTATATTTTTTATATTTTATATATATTAAAATCAGTCAAATTATCTTTACAACAGAGATTTTTCTCCGTGTTTTGTACAGTTCCGGTAAAAAAAGCACCTCACACTTTGTCTATTTACTGATTAGGAACTAGTGTGGATTTATGCACATTTA